TGACTGACGCACAGGCCATGACTAAGAGCTCCCGGGACAAGAAGACAGGGTGCAGGTGGAAGCCCCAACTGCCACCTCTTTCACTCCCCAGGCTTTGTTCTGACTGTAAAAAGAGGGGGTGGGGGGGCTCAGGGATAGAATCTTCGCCTCCACGCAGGAGACCAGCCGTGACCTCATGTTCGGCCACCACCCATCTGTCAGCAGAGGCATGCATGTTGCCGCCATGCTGAGGTTTCAGTGGAGTTCCAAACTGAGAAGGACCAGCAAGAAAGACCTGGCAGTCTGCTTCTGAAAATCAGTCGGCGAAGTCCCCACAGATCCCAGCAGTCCTGTCTGCAGCCAATCATGATGAAGACGAGGGCCAGGCAAGGTTGGGCTTCGTTGTGTGTGGCGTCACTGTGACCGGCCGCCAACTCTTGGCCTCTGACAGTAACAGTAGAAAGAAGAGAGGATACAGCCATCTCCTCAGCCCCACTCACTTCCTCAGGACAGCACCCCACGCTCACCCCTAGGTCAGACAGCACACACCTCTGGCACTGTGTCCTGGGCATGGCGCCCACCTCACAGGCTTGCTGGGAGGCTGAAGATGAGATAAAATGTGACAGAGCACTCGTCATATTTCATGGGGACCACCCCAGTGGCTGGTCCTTGTGGCAGTAAATGGGGCCGCCACCCTTGGTGCAGGTCCCACCAGGCTCTGGAGGAAAGCGCGCTCCCTTCTCCATGCCCCCCCTCCTGAAGACCACCCCTGCCCGCCCCCTTGCTTCCCACTTCCGGGAGCACCTGTGGTTTCAGCAGCGCTCACCTTTCACAAGGACTTCCTGCCCCCGCCTTCCTTCCCTCCTCTCTTTCCACCCCTTGCCTTACTCCCCCAGGAAACATGAAAAGCCAACACTCTCTTCCCGGTCTCTGTCCACGTCACATGTGACCCAAAGGGCAGCCATAATTGTGGCTAATAGAGGAACCAGAGCGAGGCCCGTAGCAAAGGGAGAAGAGCGCCCACTGTCTGTGGAAGAAACAGCAGTCAGGAGAGAAAGACGCCTCACACCGGAAGTGCCCGAGTCTGCCCAGCCGGAGACACCCTCCGAATGTCCACCAAAGTGCCCGCTGGGGTCTTTCTCTCCTGTTTTCAGTTCACAAAGAGACCAGTTTCAAATTTTCCATAATTCAAGTGAAGCCTCTGTTAGCTTATCCCATTATGTGTTAAAAGGGCCTCTTAAGTCAGGGAATTAACACCAATTTTAATAGTATATCTGAAGACAGACAAACACGCCTCTAACCTCTAGACAACCCGGACTGAAAACCTTTGGAATACAGCCCATTGTTTGGGTGAGAGCTACCAGCATTTCTATCAACACGTGCCTGACTGTTCCTAGTTTTATTTACACCAAACGCCAGGCGTGCCTAGTGGCCCTGCAGTTAATCTAAGGGTTCACTGGGCGATCCGCTGCTCCCCCACATGCCCGAGCTGGGGCGGCCGCTGGGTGGAGCCAGAAGAAAACTAACACCTCCCAACCCCAAAAGCACGGGCTGCGGCCTCCGGAATTGGTTTTTCTGCGCCGGCTAGTTTCCTCACTTCCACAGTGGTGCTGCTAAGATCCCCGCCTGCCTCCCGGAGCAGGATGGAGTAACCCACTGACCGCCCCTCCGGGCTCGACAACGGAGCACACGTCGCTGTTCAGCATCGTCGCCTGCTTGGGGGCTTTAAAGATCCGAGGGGATACTTCCCACTTCCCCCCACAACATGAGGAGCCCGTGTCTGCTCTCCGCCCTTCCTCCCGCCTGAAGTGTTCTCCTCACTTTGGACCAGCACTTCAGCTTCACTGTCTGGAAGCGCACCTGGTTAACTCCCCGGCCAGGTCCTTCCTTTATTACCTGGAGGACGAGAGGATCGCTGGTGGTGCAGGGCTAAGGCATTGGACAGCTGACCTGAAGGTTGGCGGTTCTAAACCCACTGGCCGCTCCACACAGGGAAGATGGGGAAATCTACTTCCATAAAGGTTTAGCACCTCGGAACCCTTGTGGGGGTCGCTGTGAGTTGGAATCGATGGCAGTGGGTTTCCCTGGAGGCCAGGGAGATAGCCAGCTGCCAGCCTTGTATGTTTTTCAGCCAGCTTTTAACTGGGGAGGGCAGTTCATGGTATCGAGGAGCTAAGCTCGTATGAAACCAAGAAGGTGCTTCTTTTCCCCTCTCCTTTTCAGGAACACGCATGCCCATGGCAGCCATTACAATCCCATCATGCAGCAGCCTGCGCTGCTGACAGGTCACGTGACGCTGCCGGCGGCCCAGCCCCTGAACGTGGGTGTGGCCCACGTGATGCGGCAGCAGCCCACCAGCACAGTCTCCTCCCGGAAGAGCAAGCAGCACCAGTCGTCAGCGAGGTAGGTGAAGGGGACGCGGGAAGGGAGAGACCGGGCGGGCACCTCTTGGGGGACGAGCAAGAAAGGGTTGGTGACCGCCTTCCCAAAAGCAGCCACTGAAACCTTGTGGATCGCATAGAACGTTGGGCTGGAAGAGCGGCGAATCAGTGGGCTCGCACGGAGCAGCCGTGGTGAGGGGGGCATGGGACCGGCAGCATTTCATTCTGTTGCACATGGGGTCACCGTGAGTGGAAGGAGGGTTAGGGCCCGTCCGCCTGTGCTCTGGGCCCCCTAGGCAGGCGCCGCTCCCCCGCAGAGCTCCTGTCCACACAGATGGCCCCAGGGTCCTTGACTGGGTCACGTGGGTCGAAGGCTCTCTAGTGAGCCTTGCAGTGGGGACCAGCAGGACAGGGAACAACCCCAGGGAGGCACTGGACACCCTCCGCACTCCGTGCAGCGGCCGGCTCCGCCTCTCGCCACCCTGAGGTGTGTCCAGTACCGAGACCCCAGCTGCCCACCCCCTCCCCTTCTCTAGGAAACACCAAGCCTCCCTTCTCGGATGTCACCTTGGAAGTCACGTCCAATGACGACTTTTAAAGGGAGTAGAGGAATGTGCTGTCTTTGAGATCTGAGGTCAGAATGGAACTCACCGGGCTGCTTGCCAGCATCGGTGCGCCCTAGCACAGCGCCCTCCTCCCGCTCCCGCTAAATCCGGTCTCGTCTCCGTCAGCCCCTAAAACATTGGCATCAGCACAAGGCTCTGTGCTGAGAACTCCACGTAAATGACCTTCTGGAAAAGACAGAACCAACGGGGCAGAAATCAGA